ATCTTTGAAATCTTTTTCTTTTCAAAATATTCCGTCTATCTCTATGTTATTTACAATAGATATTTACATTTTGATCACTTTGACGGGGATATTGTTCTATTTTCCGCGACCTTGAGTTTCTTTTTTCATAAACTTGGTTAAACGCGCAACGTGTGGCGTCGTTACGCGCATAGAGCTCGGATATATCCATACGCATACATATCCGCCGAAAATCGGGGCTCTACGTCGAAGCTTTTGCAACACGTGTTTGCCCTTGAAACCTCCCACGACCGGCGCGGTATGCCTCGTTGCACGCAGAAGGCGATCGTTAAATCACACCCTTCGCAATGCTCTCGCGCTGATGATCTCTGAATCTCGGCTCTCCTATTATCTACGCTACGAAGTACTTTAACATCCACCTTAACGTCCCTTACACTCTTCTCGTCCGACTCGTACCTTCGTTTGCAAGTGTGCGACACCTGCGTCATCGGGCTCTCTTCCGCTTTATTGAGTGCACTGCCTGTGATCGCGCGGCTCTAAAGGCTTTTTGCCCCTCCAAACCACCTTCTCTAAGTTCCGTACATACAGAAGGAATCGTATTCGCATCTCACGTTGCAAGCACTTATACGAGAAGAGCTCTCTCAAGTTCTTGATGTTACTCTCAAACGGATTGTCCATTCTTGCGATAGAATATAGAAAAGATCGGCGTCTTAAGGATAACATGCCTTTATGCTTTATGCATTAAACTTGTAAATGTTTGTGTTTATATATTTAATTATATAATTATATAACATATGTATATGACAAATATATAATTTAAATAATGTAATTAATATTAATATTAAATATATAATAATAAATAATATGTATATAGCAAAATGTTTTATTAATTATATTTTAACTCAATTACATGTGCAGTAATATGAAAATAACATATTCTCTCTTGGATATTACATTAAAATGGCGATATCAATATTTATCATATTAATATATGGATAAGGTAAATTGTATTATTATTAATATTGATACATAATAACACAATAAATAATAATTGTTCTACAAATATTAAATAAATATGTAAAGAAATTTGTAACAACTTTATACAGTAGTAGATATTTAATTAAATATCTCTGAAGGATTAATCAAATCTAAGTTGAATTAATAATTGCGATTATTTGCATTACCATTAACTCATTAAAACCTTATTGACTTTCTATTTTACACATGCTAACATGGAAAAGAAGGAAAGGACTATCCCTGCTTGCTTTTAAGCCGATTACACTTCCGCGTTTACGCTTTCGCATTTAATCTTTAGCCCTCTTCAAATTCTGCTGTTAATAGACCAATAAATATACTGATATTTCTATTGTGAAGTTAAGACATTGCATGGAAGGATCGCATGTATTGGTTGTATTCGACATGATACTTGTTGCACACAACGCTACGTCGCAAACTATCATTTTCATCTCATTATTTTCTTGCAGTGTCTCTGTTTTTCTATTATTGTGCTTCTATTATTCTATTATTCTAGATCAAGTTTTTCTTGATTCTTGATTATCCTTTTTGATTATCCCTTGATTATTGCTGAACGAACACATACCAATTTTAAGGATTCAGCGAATTACATCATGCAAAAAATATTTGATTCTTTATCCATTTATCTTGACAAAAACTTAATTTAACTTCTTCTAACGATAATAGCATCCAAGATTATTTATTTTGTAATACATGCACTTGTTACGTTAGTTATTTTACGTTAAGCAATTTATGCAATAATATTAAAATACTATATTATTGAAATAAAGTTATCATGTCACGTTTGTCATGACATCGTAAATGGTGCATCTATGTAAAGTATAAAACATTATCAGATGATCTTATTATAATGACTAATATATGAAATTGAATTCGAAAACTCTATTATCAAATGTAATAATGCACAATTATAATAAATACGTGTAATAACGTATATGAAAAAACAAGTTTTTAGAAGCCAATATTGAAAATTATATAATTGGTTTTCCATACTTTTATATAGAAATTTTTACTTTATGATTATCTATACCAAAGATACCGATTTGATTATCCTAGCTGCGCGCGTAAAAAAAGTTAAACTATTATGTTTGAAAGATTATAATCCTGTGAGTAGTAAGTAGTGAGTATAAATTTTGAAACTTTATTTTATATTCACTACGTGATGTGATGCACTCATGCACATCAATTCCTGGATATGTAAAAGTACGCAGTCAGGAAATAGCGAGCAATTTAAATTGACTACATATTTGTTTCCATTATACTCTCTTTGGTACATACGTAATACCTAAATAGGTACATAAAAACCTGTTTTTAATTTTTGATACCTAAATGTAATACCTCAAACAAGTTTACTGTAAATTTATTTTTGAGATAATGTGATTAAAAATAATATAATCGTCGTTAAAAAGATTTTAATATAACAGAGAAAATAAATCGACGATAAAGATTAACAAATAAAATTGTTAATAATAAAAAAATAATAAAAAAAATTTTATATTAAAATTTATATAAATTTATATAGACTTACTTTTTATTTAGCTACGTTAAACAAATTATTTTTCTTCTCGTTAACTTACGATGAGATCCTCCCTGAGTCATTTTCCTGTTGTAGATATTTTCTGGAATAGCAGTGATGATATCGATTTATAACTTGTTGCACGTATAAATAAAGGTAACCAATCCGATGTTATGCTTGGTCGCTTTTAACGTGGTTCACATTAAATTATCAGACGGTGTTTATCGAGAAATTGAAACTGTATTTAGTAAGCCCGTATCCTTGGAGAAAATAGAATAAGTATACTACATAGACTGACATAACTGAATTTTAATAGCGTAAATGAAAGGTAATTATGTATAGTTGAACCAGGGATTTCGATTTCAACGTCAGGAAGTAAAAATACGAATGGAGATAAATGACATTTAGGTGCGAACCGTGCAACCGTTTGCTTTTACTTAATGTTTCCGCGTAATTATCATATTAATGTGACTGTATATTTGTAAATGAATACAAACAGCGATTATATCAAATTTTCACAGTAATCTACCTTGTCCTACTTGTTTAAAGCATCTTGGTTTACTTTACTGTGTAATTTGGCTGTAGATAATTAAATGCGATAGAGCATAAAGCAGTCATTCTACATCGATTCTTTCCACTGAAAACGTGAGAACACTTTTTTCTGCACGCTTGACGAAACAAAATGCAGAAGCACATTATCGTCATGCAGGTACACTTTCTCAGATATCCAATATCTATTTTCTTTATTTTACATTCTTCTTTCTCTACATAGTTTTATTTAAACAAACGTGACAATATTGTTTCCGATCAAATGCACTGTTATTTCATTTCACTGAATATTTGATCTGCAAATATTAATAATTTAATCATTCAATATGTTGTTTCATATACCTTATTAAAATATAATTATTGTCTCACTTGCATCTTCCTTCTAAATAAATAAAAATTGTCTGAAAAGAATAACGATGAATAATAATCTGTAGAAATAAATTAAAGTCTAAAATGTCTTGATTGATTTGTAATATTAGTTTCACTATTGTCAGTAGGTCTTACATTTAGGTGAAAAAAGCAAGTTTCATTCTTATTATTAAAAGATATTTTCTTCTACCTTTATGTATTTAATCATAACGTGTCAAATGTGGAGGCAGCAATAGCATGGCATACCACTGTGTTTTACATCTTTTTAATTAGATCATGGACAAAGTGAAAGTACGTTTGTTATTCTAGAAATAGTCGGTCTGCTTTGGTTACTATGACAACAGATGGGTGCTCGTTGCAGGACGACTAATCCTACGACTACGTCGAATATTACCTTGCGATACAAACGACGCAAAATAAAGATAGAGAATTGTAATATAATTTTATTTCCGGACAAACACGCAAAAGAGCCTTTAGAAACGATTCGGGGAAGATCTCCAGGGATTTAAGGAGGCTTCAATGGTACAAAAAAATTTTGTACAAAACTTTACACAAAGTTTTATTAACCGATATCTTACAACATGCGACAGCGCAGCTACGCGATTAGTTAGTGTCTGTATGCGTTTCATGTATGTCTTATGCTTAAGGCATAGCATAAAATATATACTCTCGTAGCACCTTAAATAAAGATGTAAGTTAGTAGATGGTCGTTAGATTAAAACAAATGATTTGAGCAGGTGTACGTGGATTCCCTCGTGGAATTCCTTCAGCAATGCGGGCAACGTATCATACCGAAAACGTCACACTTGGCGCACTTTAAGGCGACGAATTCCACGGTGAACTCGTTGCGATGTATGGATCTCTTGCTGCCGTGACAGATGGGACACAGCAACCGCTGGAATCCACCGCAATATGGACAAACAGCGCATGCATCTTTACACTGAAACGCAGACATTTCGTCATATTAAATTAAGCGTATTACTAAATCAAATGCAGGTTGTAATTGCCACCGTAAAGAGTGTCGCTTAATCTGTAATTTGAGACATATAATTATAATGGATAATATAAGAAAATAAGCTCTATACTTTGAGAAACATTATTTTTTTATTTGATGGTTTAAGATATTTATTTCTTCATTATTCTTTCTTTAAGTCTTATATTAGATGCATTATTAGGCGCTATTAAATATATAAACATGTTAAGGCACATCTAACAGTGATACAGTCTGGTAATATAAATTTTAGCAATAAATTAGGTAAATGTGATTATGATATCAGAACAGACCCTCCATCGAACCTTATTCAACGTTACGAAACTGTTTTCACTTTCACTTTTACTTGTTACTAACTGAGTCTAATACCTGAAATGTAAATCGACTTTGCGGAGTACGTAACGAGTTTGGGTGGAATAATGACTACCTCCTGGATGAATATCAAACTTGTTTATCTAAACAGCGCTAAGCGCCCTGCATTTGAGATTGATGAGATTTAAAAGAAGTAAAAAGAAATTCAGTATAAATTAGGAAACTTCATATTGTTAATATTTTGTGTATTTAGAAAAATTATATTAATTTTTGGTACGTACATATTTTAAATTTTAATTTTTTCTAATATTTAGGAAAAAACGTAACTTATGCTAATAAAGGATTAAAATTGTTACGGATGTAATTGTTGTACGGATGTTCTTAACAAGTTTGTATGTGTAACAACACCGATGGTATGGTAATAGAAGTAACAATGGCCGCAATGTAAACGACCTTTAGTTGCAACAAGGTAAACCTGAATTGCACGACAAAATTTATGATCACGATGGAAAGGAGGTGGGCGTTTAGACAGACAGAGAGTGAGAGAGAGAGAGAGAGGGGGGGAGGGGGGCACGTACTTCAGATAAAAGTGAAAGGATCGTACAACCTTGCATTCACAACTACTCGAGTTGTTTGTATGTACGTTTCATCACAATCCGCTGTTCTATCTACTTTAGATAGCTGATTCTGCGTAGAAATAAATGCGTATAACGCGATCATGCGAATCATTCAAATCTCAATAATACTTTTATGAAATAGTATATAAATCCCGAATAAAAAAAGTACTGAAACTTTTTCACTCTGAATACTAACTACTTTTATTGCTTGCTTAAGAACTTTTAAAAATATGTCTCGTTACATAAATCATCTTATATAATTATCTTATTAATCATCTTATAAAATTTATAGAATGCTATTCTTTTTCCGATACGATAATGATGTAATTAATTCGAAGCTGGATAAAATTATTACAAATGTGTATAATTAGACTTCAATATTACGTACATTTGACGTCAGGAACTAAAAATTCTAAATGCGTAATTTAAATCTAAAATGAAGACGGAAATTATGTACAATGTTTCTCGACTTCAAATGGTTTTAATGAATTGAATATGCCTGCTTACGAAACGCAAATTCATTAACTAATACGTTACGGCTGCTGTTTATTAAAATTTACGTTCGACAATATTTCTTTCGCAAATTTAAATTACCATGAAAAGTATTTCCTTCCGTATGACGAAAGAATAATATCAATCAGTAAACGGTGTTGAATTATTAATTTCATACTTGGATGAATGGCATATTCGTGTTAAAGCATAAGGCGAAGAGGATATCTAGGATACGCGATTTTCCACAACGTCCCGGCGAAAATCAGCTTACCTGGTAAGGTTCCAGTATGCGACGTAATTCTCCTGACTCGTTAAGTCGTTCGACGGTGTCGACACCCTGTAACGAGGGAAAAAAAAGTTGTGAAACGTAGACATTTAGTAGCACGACATTTAAACCGTTCGAGTTATCCGCTTTCTTTCCGCCTCGTTCATTTCATTCTCTTACTAACTATGGCTGTGCCGTAAACAGAAATTCTCCGGTATGTCACATGCGTCAAAAGCTTTCCGTCGAATAGACGGAAATCGCACGTTGCGAAATACGGCGATGTATTCGCCGGCATTCTCGGCCTGTCGTCGAGGAATGCGGTTGTAGCAAAGGAATTTTATCGCGCTACCTCTCTCCTGGGTCTTCCTCGTGTGTACACGGGTTAGGCGTAGCCACGGAAATGGCCATATCATACATTTTCATGTCGCCGTTAATGAGGATTTTAATGAAGCACGTGATATCTAATTTGCAGGTTTGACGCGCCGTTGATTTATTCAAGAAGGAAATCTCGCTCTTTTACACCGAAAGATTATCTCTCACATTTTCTAAAGAGATATCGTCCTAAGTCTGTTAATTATATCACAATATATTTTATCCGAAAAATTTTTAATTGCTCGAATGTGTATATGTAAGTGTATCTGTGAGAGGGTGCACACGTATGTAAAACAATACGACATTTCAAAGGTACTTTTTGTCAGCGCACATCTTGTAATTTCATATCTGATGTAATGTAATAAGAGTTTTATTGCAATTGTAGCTATGACGTGACTCCTTTCACTACATACCAATTACCACATACACAATTGTCAAAGATGCAAAGATGTGCAAGCGTGAAAGCAAGACAATATACAAATTGACAAATAACGTCTCGAAGACGTTTCGTCAATTTTCAGCTATTTCGCGCGAGATAATTGTATGACGCGGTCGGATAGGAATGCAGTTCGGATAGCTTTTATGTGTGTACACTTGTGTTCTAGACATCAGCAACTATAAGGCGGTGTAACGTAGGCAATCTCACCTCGCGTTCTTTCTCTTCGGCGGCCTTGGATCAAATAGCTTGACATTTCACTTACGCATATATCTATTCTCCCAACTATCAGTTGCTGGAAGTAACTCTTGAGAAACGGATACCGCGACGGAGATGAGAAAATGAAATAACAACATAATTGACTTTTAAAGCTAAGGACATGCTGTTTATCTATTATTTTTTTATAGAAAGATTAACGTTTAAATTTTTGGAAAGCATTTGTGAGAAAAATATTGATATTAAAAGTTTTTAACATTCGCACATTTATTTAGAAAGGCATATATTTTTAATTAAAAAAGTTGTTTAAAGAATTCTAAAAATTTTTTATACGTCAAATAAATAAATAAACTGTGCAAAAGCTTTTTATTTTATTTTCTGTATTAAATATAACATATTTATTTTCCGTTATAAAAGCAGACCTTTTCATACAGAATTCTGTTGTGTCGCGTAAAACTTTAAATCACATTGGAGATATTAATATTTTCATATACGCACATACGTGCGATATTCATAATTTAATCGCTGACATCGTTTGAGAAAATTGCGTGAATATGGCTGAAACTTATGATTACAAAGATCTTTACCGTATCGCAATAAAAGGAACGTACTCTTTTATGACGATATAAAAGGCATGTCGTATGTGATGAACTTGTATCCTCCATCGTGAATGAGAATAATTACGATAATGGAAACATATGTCCGTTTACTGTGGTCATTCCCAAGTGCTGTAACATTTAAGTGACCCACTATGTTGATGATTGTTTGTTGTCGCTAATTTCTAATAACTATTCTTGATTAGATATTCAATCTATTATGATTTTAATATCTATTAAATAAATATGTAATTACTGCAAATCATAATCTATGTGCGAAGCGTGTTTCTCTTTATTAATTGCGAGAAAAGATATATTGACAATTAATATATATATAAATATATATAAATTTTATAATATATATATATATATATATATAAAATTTTTTTTCTCCAAAAAAATACACTACTATAAAGGATTTAATATGTTAAATAATTTTTTGCTATTTTTTGTATTTTTTATATTTTTTAAATTTTCCTTCATGTTTCAATAACAATCTCACAGGAGATATAGCGTAAGAAGATCTATGAAAGGTGACACTCTATACTTGAGAACTACATGTTGAAACAGAATACTTTACTATCTTCCCTATCGCATTCTGTTGCTTATATGCGAGAATATAGTTTCGAAGGTACGATAGAATTTCTTTAAAGTAAAAAAATTTTCCACCTACTTCTTTTCATTCCATTAGTCTATTATTTGTATGATAGGCAATCATTATATTTTACATGTTTCGTTTAATCAAATTTAATCAAATTTAATCAACGAGAATAATAATGTCTATTATATGAAATTTAATTGTGTTATTCTCCTTCATCAACTCATCTATTCACATCATCTACAAATTAAATGTAATTTTATATCAAATTTCCGTTCGTATATTTATCAAATTTTCGCTCGACAGTGGACAGTTATCTTTGACATTTCACGTCATCCATCTCCCGACTTTCTCGATGTCGAATATCCCCAGTTGCATAACACGGCCTTGTACAAATTCTTCATAAAGCGTAAGAGGATAGATTTGAAAGGATCGTAGAGTACTCGAATGTTAGTATGCGTAATATAACTTTTCTTATTAGAAGTTATTCTACCTGTGAAAGGGCTGAGGAAGATCGATATCGTTACTAAGAGGAAAATAACTTGGTTGACGAATGTCAAACGCAGGTGACGGAACATTCAACACCAGCTGCTCACGTTTTATTACGTAATTTTTTTATATTCCGAATAGATTTTAAAATGATTATAAAACATCTTTGGATTAAATCATACATATGATTTAATACATTCATATGAATGAAAATACGTAAGTGATAAATTAATACAAAGAAATAATAAGTACTAATATTGTAAATAAATGTTTATGTAAATTTTGAAATGTAAATATTTCTAAATCATAGAAGAAATCATAAATCTACATATTTACGACAATATGTAGTAAATTTATTGAATTATTCATATCAATTCTTGAAAATATTCTTTTATATTTAATTTTAATACTATAATCAACATTCGTAATTAATAAATATTAAAAATAAATTTAATAAATATTAAAATATAATTTTCATTTCTGATTTAATTAAATTATTTTTTAAATAATATCCATTGTGTTAATTATTTTTTGTTAAGAATTTCCATTTATACAAAATTTATATTTCTGCTCATTTCTCAATCTCTGTTTTACTGATACTTTCTTCTCATTTCTCATAATTGTTTTAACAATTTTAATTAAAGATGAATACATACCCCAATATATTGACCATCGACGAAGAGCTGTGGCAATGTTACAACTTCCGAGTTCGTTCGATCCTTGAGTTCGGTTTGTAATTCCGTGTCGCGGAATAAATCTGCCTCGTCGTATTTAACCATGTTCGTCCATAACATTTGCTTCATCTTCATACAATTGGTAAAGGTCTCTCTTACGATGCCCAACGATGTCGTGTAAAGAACCACCTTACCTTTTTCTCTTTCCACAAAAGCCTAAAATAAGATGTGATATGTTAGAAGTATAACAAAACTCCATATGTAAATATGTGGAAAAGCTCAAGAGAATATCGAAACTATTTATATTACTTGTAAATTACGTTTCTTGAAAGCATTTGTTTTTTTGTAACGTACTCAATAATACAAATCAAATTATTTGTCTATTTCAATAAAAATGAGCATATATTTTACGTCCTATACTCGTGATCTGCTCTATTCGCTAAGTTTGCTACTATTTATTACTAATTTACTACGAATATGAGGATGCCGTAGCCATTGAGCGGTGTCCTCTTTAAAGGAACTAAACATTCTAGATTGAATATTAAGATCTTTCATCAAGGCGTCTAGTGAGATGATTACTTTTATGACGTTGTATTATGAATGTACATGAATTATTAATATACAATATACACTTCGTTGATACGTTATGGCTATTAAACGTGTATGCGAGATCAAACACAGATATTATGTCATCAATTTTCAGAAAACAACTTTTATTATAATAAAAAATAAATTTATCTTGATACAAGTTTTATACTGTATTAATATTTTCAATATGTTGCTAATAAAATCCCTTTCAATTTCTAATAACATTTTAGATCCAATTACTGTTTAATTCATTGTTTCATTTTCAATGAATATTATTATATTCTATAGATAGTAACTTTAATAATAGATCTATAATTTTATATGTTGTTTATGCAACGATATTACAAGTGAAAGTAATAACATTTATGAATTAATAAAGTTCCGAAAGCAACGATAAATGTGAAACTTCAACTTTTCCCTTTATCGACAATCGATTCTTGGATAAGCACGGGCGACAATTTTTGTATAGAAGAGAAACCTCTTTATGGTTCGGTGATTCAATCACAAGTTGCTCGAACTTCAATTCTTGCTCAGTAATGCGTGAATTCGTTGCTTGTTCTTTTACAACTTCATTGGCACATGCACAATCATTGAACTATGTGCATGAAGATGCGATGCATGCTTGATGGATTATAGAAAAAGTCAAGCATTACTACTTGTATTACTTTCCCAACATTACTACTAGTATTATTTATTATTATATTATTTTAATATTTATAATAACAAAATGTAATATCATTATATTAGCTATTACTTATAATTAAATATTTACATTATATTCCAGAATCTAATTCATAAAAATTTATTTTATAATTTAATAAACTCATATAAAAAAACGTCATATTTTATCATAACATACCACCAATATCATCTTCGTAATACCACAGACAAATGCAATCTTCATAATATTCTAGCTATCTTTTGAATTATTTGCTTTTTATATGCATGTATATAATATTTCAATATTCTTTTTCAACTAAATTATGCAATAACTAAATTATGCAATTTAGCTTCGTCAAGATAGACGAGAGATGAAGAAAATAATGGCAGGCGAAAGAGAGAAAGGAAGGGGAAATGATTGTGTTAAACTAGCTTTCACCGTGTAAAAGTAGCAAAATAATTCAGTGTCGCGCATAATGCAAGCAATGATTTGTTTATCTATAAAGCACTTTATATACATGATATTTTTACTATTTGTCTTCGCATGATTAGCAAGGTCGCCTAGATATTAAATTATCAAATACTATGTGGAATCGATGAGTTTTAATATCACATATTCTTATACTTTTTGCTGTAATTTGTATGAATATATATAATAAATTGCACTATATAAAAATTATCATTTCTCTTCATTAATGTCCTTGTAAAAACCCGGACTGCCATTTATCGCGCTTAAAGCGTAATATAAAATATCCTCGTGCCTTCTGAAAAAATATTCATTAAAATTGTCTTTGTTAAAAACACAGTTAAACCTTTTACATTTATTTATTAGAAACCGCATTTTTTATAATTGAAAAATTTCGTTGCAGTTACATTTTTTTTCACATTGACGATATTTCAATACACAGGTCTTATGTGAAAACGTCAATGTTATCGTACATTTACTAAATTTAATCTAGTCTAGCAAATTTAATAGTAACGTTCACCGAGATCGATATAATTTTCACTGAGGTATGACCATTCCATATGCAGAGCGATCGCGTCCGTAGCGTTATAGATCACCACGTGCTCGCTCGACATGACTGCTAATGAATGTACTTCAACGGGGAAACCGGACTCGTCGTACCAGGTGCATGATCTGCACCATAAAAGCACATTATCATTGTAGAGGTATGCACAGCTAAGATCTCGGCTAACCATTACTAACTTTTTGCTAACCTACTTGTTCATACCGATACCCGTTATCCTACGTAAATGACACGTATCGTAATTGCCTTCGATCATAATTGCATATCGTCCTGAAGAAGGCAGAACCAATACGGCTATGTACATGCGAACCAGATGGCCTAACAAAGTGCTGGGCTTTGCATTATAAGCCGTAAAGTAATGGAGAGAGAACTTTTTGCGCGTGTATTCCGTACATTTCGAATATTAAACTGTAACCACAATTAGAGTTTATCGCTGCTCGATAAATCTATTTAATTTAATTTTATATTATTACATTAATACATTAATAGAGCGCTATTTTGTTTGATTTTATGATTCACTAATTCTCTCCTCGTATCTATTAGAATTAATACTGTTATACAGAACAGATGGTTAAACTTGATGCGCACACATAACTCGTATCCCTACTGAAGGCCTCTCGAAAAGTCGAGGCGAGAATTGGCCTCGACTTGTCCTTTCTCTGACGGCTATCAATGTCGCACTGGATTTCATGACACGAAATAAAAAAATTTGATAAGGTCATCTATTTCCGTGCTCGTCTATCCAGAAGTGTAAAAGTCTGTCCTTATCCATCTTGATCTTATATTAAAATTCCAATATAAAATATTGGCAATTTTTAATTATATTTTTGTTTACCGGTAATTATAATCTTGTTATAAAGATAATCGTGATTGCCAATTATAATTAAATTAAAGTTTTTACATTTTTCACTTTATTGCATATTTATTATATATTTATTGTATATTATTTTATTTTATATATTAAGAATGCATGGTTTTTCTTGGATGACTGATGAAAAAGGAATACTTGCAACAAAATAATTTATCCATCATGATTTTCATCATTATTTCTTGTAGGCAGCGTGTGAAGCCGACGCGGATCATACGACGTGAATAACTTTTTGTACGTCGCGATGACCCCATACAATATTATCCATGAATCCTTCTACAGAGATTTCCTCGAACAATAAGATACGACATAAAAGGCTTCAAGCTTGCAAAATCACATTATATAGTGTACTGACACACAAATATAAAGAAGAAAATAATTAAAATGTGTGTTAATACTTTATGACCTACAGCAGATGGCAGAAACAACACCTATTGAATTTATATATAAAAATAAAAAAAAAAATAATAAACACAAAAAATCGTTTGATAAAAAATATGATGTATATTTCATGTGCTTAAACACATTGTTGGTTTTTAAATATTTATATATTTGTTTATATTTTTATTTTTGTAGTATAATCGAATTGTTTAAAAAAATTGTTTAAAATATTTATATATCTTGATTGTTTGTAGAATTTAAATTGTTTGTAGAATTTAAAAAGTTTTAAATTAAAAAGTTTTAATATTTTTTATTAGTTTTAATATTTTATAAAGTTTTTTATTAGTTTTAATATTTTAAAAAGTTTTAATATATATATCTGTTTACAAATATTAAAATTTATCTATATGTAATAAACATCATTTTTATATGCCTTTAAGAAAATAATATAATATCTTACAATATTAATCTATAAAGAATCAAGTGCTATCAAGAAGTTCTTTCTCCTTTAATTTATTAAAATAATCATATTTTTCCCTCCTCTCTTTTGTCTTGGTTTTTCCTTGTCAATCTTGATACTTTTTTTAACGTCTTTGATCACCGATCAGATGCAAATTAATCAACCTTGCTCATAATCTATAATTCTCAGAGTTCTCTTTCTGCTTTGCCAAGTAATTAATCTTTACAATAAAGAAACATATAATTTCCATTTTTATTTTAGCTTCAAAGTGATTCAATTTATGTCAATCATATATGACGCTAGACGTTTATCATATGATTTATTAAACGTCAATATACTGCAAACTACAATGTAGGTATGTAATATATGTATAGCACAGATAGTTTAACGAGTGTGAATTTCATAATGTTATAACATAGCATGGCTTGATATGGCATGCTTAGTGCGTACTCGAGTACAAGATAATTTCACAGGCGTTTAATGAAAGCTGCACCTGGACGTACGTGTTACATACGAAACTACGGCACGCTTTGAATTAGCGATTAATTAACGTAGAGTAATTTTAGCCGGTAATGCAGACAAATCGAGGCGCCAAAGAGACGATTTCTCCGTAACTGGGATAATGTTACAAGAGATCAGGTCATCCACTGGCCGGAATTTAGTGTATTAAAACTTCTTTCGATAAATACAGATCGCTCGGAGAACAAACTGTGATCGTTATCACGTGGCAACTTGCATCACGGACTAGAAATACGCATTACAGAGGGTGATTAAACGAGCGTGAAATTAAGTTAACGAAGTTCCATGGCAGCGTCAAACTCACTCTGATATAAAAATGTAATATAAAACATTAATTTTCTCCTCGTCCATTTAATATCCCCGACTGTTTATGATAGAAATTTTCAGATAAGTGCCAGACGTCTTTTATATCGATAAATTCAATAGTCTATCACTTGATCCGCGTCACTTATTGTCATACCTTTGCAACGGCAGCAATGGCATAATAACAACAGTGGCTGCTAATGATTACGATGCAATAAATCGTTTAGCACAATCAACCGATTTAGCACGATTCAGTTTTTAGAGAGTGGGAGCTGCCGTGTACTCCATTATTTCTCTAATAATGATCTCTAAATACGACTTTCACGACTTCATATGAGAATGAGATTCGAGAATCAGAGTCGAGAAGAGAAAGGAATATAGCGGAAAGGGATATATAATGAATATATAG